CCAGACACATCCATCCACCGACAATGAACACCGCGGCCAACCACCATTCAGGCCAGTGTACGGCAGAGGACGGTGGACAACCTATTCAAGTCAGCAAGTCAGGTTGTGGAGGAGGTCCACTCCAAAAAATATTGACAATTTGTTTATCTTAACTCTAGTGCCATGGTGATTCAATCTATTTTTAACCTTTTCCCAGTAGTTACCCAGCCTTTTGCAATTTACAAACATATGCATGTAGATTTCCTTAACATTACATAGTGTGCACATTGGACTATATACTTCACCTGCTTGATTCCTAATTTTGCCATTTGTTCAGTTTCACTTTACAGGGAAGGATATTATGCAAAAGTTTGAAATTGAATTCTTTCAATTTGTTTTCTTTAATATTTACTGTTAAACTTTTCCATATCAATTTCTTATCCAAAGGTTTAACATCAAGTGTTTCACTCCAGTCATCAATACATGTACTTTGTCTTACTTCTTTTGCTTTTATCTGATTACATAATGTCTTAGATGTCAGTTTCTCTAAAGGTACAGAAATATTAAAAATTCCAAGTTGCTATATTTGTAGATCAACTTCACTGTGTTGGTCCCAATATTGGCTCAGAGATATTTCCCACTGTTTATATCTTTCTATGATTGATTCATAGTATTACCCGTATTATAAACCCCGATTTATAAACCCTTTATACTTTCACATTATCATGTCATCAGTAGTGTGACCTGTGTTATAAACATAAATTTGGCGCATTTTCTATTTTCAGGACTTCAAGAGGCGTCCCACCGGCGGGAGGGCGTCTACAGACTACTGCGTAACTTCCTGGGTGTGCAGATGCTGCCACATGAGCACGTGTGCTCCCACCTTCGACGCAATGTGCCAAGACGCCGCCAACACTCACGACCGGAGAGGATCGACCGGCTGACAACCTACATGAGGCCCTACTGGCTGGAGAGCATGCACGGTCTGGGAGGTGAGTGAGTGGGTCGTGTACATGGAGCCGGTGCGGACCAACAACGACACCGAGGGCTGGCATCGGCGCCTCAAGCAGAAGGCCAACCGTCTCCACCTGCCGCTGTACCTGCTGGTTCAGCTACTGAAGAGAGAAGCCGACTTCGTGACTGTCCAGGTCCAGCAAGTGAGCGTCAAGAAGCTGAAGAGGTACCAACGAACTAGCCTCCTTCGCAGTCTTATTGGGCGTCGGCGTTATTTTTGCAAGTCTGAGCGACGCGAGTAATATGCTGCCGCGAGGGACGATTTGCTGCCGAGGGAGTTTTTGCCATGGAGAGAAGGTTTCGCGCTCCAACAGCGCGAAACCTCTCCGTGGCAAAAACGCCCAACAAAAACGGCTAACAAGACTGCTAAGGAGGCTACCAACGAGCCCGGTACGCCAGTATGCAGGGGAAGCTGTTCAAGCACGGGCGAGAGTATGAGGAGGGGCAGAGGACGGCGTCATCTCTGTTGAGAGCGCTAGCGTGCTCCCTTGTCTACGCTCCCATTCCCGAGGAGTGAAGCATTTTTGTTCTCTTGTGTTCTTGATGTGCCAGAGTAACACGGATTTTCTTGATGTATTTTCACGTGTTTTTTTTCATATGAACATGCGCTTGTGTAACGCATTTTTGTTCCCTTATGTATTTTTTTTATATTTTTCTTGATGTGCCAGAGTAACACGGATTTTCTTGATGTGTTTTCACATGTATTTCTTGATGTGTTTTCACATGTATATTCAGAGGGGGACATACTAGTACATTGTAGTTCTAGTATTAGTTACTTTCGAATCATGATATCAACGTGACATGGGAGACACCTAGCGGCGGGTGACTATAATAACAGGCAGACAACAAGTCACTTCCTTCCACGGGAAAGCTTGATTTTCTTGTCGTTTAATTTATACTGTTGGATTAGTTTTCTTCATTTTGCTAGAAAATACATGTAGTAAGAGAACAAATAAAACAATCCGGTCCTCAAATGTTTGTTTGGACTTCAAAAGAAGAAATCTGTGCACCCGAAGCATGCATGCACCTGTCACTGTACAATACGAAATAATTAAAAAAAAAAAGAAGACAAAAACATAAAAATATGGAACGCTTCACGAATTTGCGTGTCATCCTTGCGCAGGGGCCATGCTAATCTTCTCTGTATCGTTCCAATTTTAGTATATGTGTTGCCGAAGCGAACACGACTGTACAGGGAATCACTCCTGTATATATAGGACGCTATTTATTGTCTGATTCAGCTGGTGGTAGACTTCCTACAGCTGACCTGACACAGGTGCCAAATTCCGTTTCTGTGAGGCAGCAGTACATTAATTAATTGTGCAGCTGCCTTCCAAATAATTTAATTACTTCAAATTACCTCTCTAAACGCCTCATATTCACCACACGGGGCTTAAATGTGCCAGTAAACCATTTTTACGTGCCCGCTAACGCAGCTGTAGCGTAGTCTCGCCAGATAATGGCGTCGTGACGTCATGCGCATGCGTGAATCAGCTGTTGTTGGACAGGTGCCACCTGGCGAAGCAGCTGCATCTAACAGAGACCCCCTGGGACCCCTAAACTGGACGCAGACAAAGAGATACCGCTGAAAACAGTTAAAAACACCTTAATTCAGCAAAATATGTGCACAGAAAATGATTTAACAAAACCTAAAATTTTAAGTGATACCTCCTTGAAAATGCCCTCTTAAAAATTCCAGAGGCGCCGCCAAAAACGGTCATTTTTGGTAAAACAAAATCTCACACACTTCAGCTACATCTCGCCAGGTGGCGCCACTGTACTGTAAAGTTTACAGGGTGACGTCATTATCAAGAAGTCGCATTGAAACAAATTTTAAAGTGATTCTCCAAATGACAAAAGCCAAGGATTGTAACTTATTCCGTTTATTTCAAAATCTATTTTCAGTATACTCAATACACATCCCAATAACGTCAACACACATCCTCCATTGAGAACCATTTTTGCAGTAATGATATTGTATAGTAAATCATTTTTCAGGTGCAGCACAAAGAAGTGTTAACGCTCCAAGAGTGTTAAAAATATTTGAAGAAGTTCCCTTAGGCCAAACCAATTTTGTTTGTCAGTTCTCAGATTTTTTTCCTAAAAAGTATGATGCGACAGGGCAAAAAAATGAATAAAAACTGGCCTAGAATTTATGATTTCATACATGTAGCTATCATGATAAGAGCCATGAAGTCAACATACCAGGCTGGTTTATAATTCAAAGACTGACTTTTCAAAGCAAATCACTGCATTATCAGATGGAAAAAACATAACGGATAGGAAGACAAGGGCTTTCATAAACTGTTAAATCCTTTTTTTAAATGCAAATCAGAAAAAAATAAAGCAGGAAAATCCGAGAACCAATTGATTCAATTGGTGTGGCCTTAAAAATATACAGTATAACAGTATATGCAGTATTTATAAACCATTACAGGGTACATCATATACTAGTATATACATTTTTTTTTATCTGTGTGACTGCAAAATCTAGCCAAAGTACATACATGCAATGGTTCATAATCAAATTGACAAAAAAATCTTTCTAGAAATTCTAACTAAATGGACTAATTCCATATGCAGTACTATCATGATTATAACAATTTACTAGTGGCAGTTACTGTTATATTTGCTCAGTACTTTAAGACTTTAGAAATAAATTACTGCATAGATAATGTTTATAAGAATTCATAAAATAATGTTCCTTGCTCAGACAACAATTGTCAATCCTGTGTGTTTCACTTTGGATATTTTAAGGCAAACATGCAAAAAAAGAATGATATATATTTTGGAGACTTAAACAAACATTCAAGTATATACAAATAATATCAGGAGGCTACTTAAAAGATTTCGAAAATACAGATACTCAAAACAATGGACTAAAATCATCAACTATGCTATTTAATTACTTAATGCTATTAAAAACTTTTTGTTACAATGACAAGTTTGAAGGTAGTTGTTAAAAAATGCAAGAATGTGTATGAAAAGTACATGACCTGTTCCAAAGAATTCTATTCAATAACATTAAGTTTATAGCACATGAAATCCAGTTTCACATTTCTATAAACAAAAGGAAGAAAAAGTTATAAAGTTAAACTGCACAATTTTCTGAAGTATATAAAGTACACTGTCTTCTTTGATTACCATATTTCTAATAATCTAAAGTGGTATACAAAAGTGCTACCTCAAAGCCTCTGTTATCAGGCCAATACATGTACAATGTACTCTATTTCCACCTTTGTGAAAAAATAAAACACAACAGCCTTAAAGCAACTCTAGGCAGAGAAAATTTTTCTTTCCAAAAAAACAAAAAAAAAATCAAATACCACTTTACAAGTAGTTTGAGGTGTCTAAAAAAAGGCCTTTGAGTCCTGGCCAGTTTTCTATATTGCATGAAGCCCAGTTTCTCCAAGGTACACAATGCATACGTCTAGGACGGCCTGCATGGGGGTTGGGGGTTGGGGGTTGGGGGTTGGGGGGGGAACGATGACGAATTGGCAATGCGTTAAATTCTCAGAGCTGATTACTAACAATTATGCGTTAGGGCTAATGTACTGATGTAAGATGACAATGAGAAGTTAAATACTTTTTGCCTTTCTAAACATGAAAGAAAACAATTAAAATTTTCAAAACTGGTACCCCACCCATTTTTCCCATCAAAGGCAGCCCGGGCAACTCATAATCTTTTATAAAAATCCATGAATTTCAAGTTTCATCAGGTAAGTAACTCACTGAATACTTTGAGACTCTTTTTACACAACCCTTTTATTCAGCCGACGTTTTAGTGACTGTCTGTCACCTTCCTCAGGGCAATTCTGACTGGTTCACATTGCACTGCAGCACAGGTGTCACTGCTATAGATGCATTCCCAAACTTAAAATATTTACATATCTAGTACAGTTTCAGGGAACAGTATCTACAATGCCCTGAGGAAGACAACAGACGGTCACCGAAACATTGACTGAATAAAACATGTCTTGGTTGTGTACAATGAGTCTTATACACATGTAATTTATTTAACTTTTTTATAAATGTTCTCAAAAAAATCCAAGCCATCCCAAAGTTTAATCTCTTTCCTGTGGTTGTAGCTTCCAGGTACAGGCTTGAACGATTTGTACTTTGTACTGTGATTGTAACACCTAAATAAAACACATAGCTCTTTCTTCAACTCTTCTAAAAATGTTCTCAAAAAACATCTCTTCTGTACCAGTACGTGATGCCCTCCCTATCCAAACTGTCCCAAAGTTTAATCTCTTTTCTGTGGTCGTGGCTTCCAAGCACAGGCTTAAACGCCTTGTACTTCTTGTCGTAGTAGTAGTGGCTGTACTTGGTATTGTAGCCAAGTCCATACAGGCTAAGCTTGTCACAGGAGTTGAGAGCTGCCATGACCATGATGCCACCCGTAGTGGGGCGGAACGACTTCACTCTCATCCACCTGTAGGGAAAAAGGAAAGGGTTGGTGGAAAAAGCAGTCCAGTCCGGGAGACGGAAAAAACAGTCTGGTAACAAAAAAGGGTCTGCATGGGCGTTCCTGGAAATGCTTAATGGTAAATTAAGCAGGATTGGCGACATTTATCGTCCCCTAAACCCCAAGCTGATTATTCAAAACATTTTTAATTTTTCATGAACTGTAAGGTAAAGAATCTGCAGAGCAGATAAAACTTCTGCCTTCCACATGGATAGGTGGCAAAATAGTGCAGGTAATTTTGAGTTAAACTTGCTGCACTTAGTGCAGGTATATACGCAGAAAAAACAAATTTCAAGCCCTATATATTATGCACTTGCAACTACAACTTGAGTAAAAATTATGGAAGTTCAAACCCCTTTTTCTTTGTGTTATAAAGGTAAAGCAAATATCAAGACTACAGATTGAAGTAACATTCGCAAAGCAAATGCATAATGTTTACCTTTGGACATGGTCTGCTCTGTTAATTCTTACTCAAACACATTCATATACATGTGCTACTAGTATATGGTGACAGGAGCAGAGTAGACCATGAAATTGCAACATTATGTAACCTAACACCAGTCACCATGGTGACAGATGCCAACAAATCATGTCATTGGTCAGGTCATAGGTCACTGTTTGGAGAAGAAGAAGAGGAAGAAACTGAGCAAAAACAATATGTTTTCTTTCGGTAAACATAACAATGACAAAACAGGACTTACACATAGTGGATATATCTCATCCAGTCAGGATGGATGATGCGTACATTTTCCGGTGGCACTGCAAACTTGTTCTTACGTTCTGCTATTGACTTGAGGTATGAAAAGTCTGCCTTTCTGCATGGCACAAATATATATGTGATGTCCTGAAAGAAATAAACAACAGACTAAGTTAAATTGCCCATAGTAGTTCTTCAGGAAAAATGTGGAGATAACAGGGTTTAATTAATCTTGATTCCCTTTGTAAAGACATACATGATTGTACACTTTACAGGAAATTTGACAAGCATAATCTTTTCTCCTGTCAAATCTTCAAGGGGGTGGGTAGAAACAAAATCTCCTGGCTCCCAGGAATCGAACCCAGGCCGCCAGCTTACGAACCCAATGTACTAACAGCTAGGCCAAAAGGTTTAGACCCTTTCAGATGAGTCGGTTAGTAACACTGTTTTCTTTTCAAGATTTATGTTCAAATCTGACATCAAAACACAGAGGTGCATAGAACCCTCTCGAACCTGAGCCTAACCCTGGCAGCCAGTTCACAATCCAACACGCTAACTGCTAGGCCAAGAGGTATATGGGGCATTCTATTGTACTACAACTACAGTACTACAATGGGTGGACATTTTGCAATGCTTTTTTTAATTGTATTAAGACCACTTGTCTAAGAAGACCACTTTTCCTTGGTCCCTTGGGTGGTCATCGTAGACAAGTTTGACTATATGACTGTACTTGTACTGTACTTGTACTGTTAACAGACTGACCTTACTGATAGGGTAGTCATCTGCCTTCACACCGACCAGAGAACGGTCATAGAACACGTAGTGAGTCGTCCTACTGCCCACGTCTTCTTCAAACCCCTTTGTCAGGGCATGGTTCACCCTGGAAAATATTTTTAGAAAAGAGAATGACAATCAATGTTAAATTTGCCTGTATGTCAACTGAAGAGAGCACCAGCAATGACCTATAATGAAGAGAAGACACTACATTTGAGGCACCCAATGCAATTTCAAAGCAGTAAAACTGCATTTTCAAAGACTTACTTAGGCCACACCAACTTAATTTTATGGATGACATCCGCGCGCGCATTAATTTTTGCCTGTTCTCAAAAAAAAGATCACGTCCACCGAGGCTCTGGCCTGGCTCTAGGTCTGGGTAGTCCATGGTAATTAGCGACAATACGGAGGTGGTAACTCTGGAGGATCCACCCAGGCTACGGAAACTCCACGATTCAAGAACTCAGTGCATACGTTGCCGATTGATAAATTCTGCAAAAGGCCAACATGTGCCGGCTTGTCGTATATATGTCGTTTTGCTGCAAATTCACAAAACCAGCTTTGTATTCCTGTGGTTTAGTAGCATTTTTATTTTTGGCCGGAATTTTTTTTTATTCGCCCGCAGGCACTAGTTTGGGGGTCTTCAGAGGATGTCATCCATAAAATTAAGTCTGTGTGGCCTACTACTTATAATGTAGTGATTTTTTATTGCAGTTGAATCAACCCTATCCCATACTGGAATACTGATATCTGTAAGGTAAAAATGTGATGTTGCTGGCGAAAAACAGTTCCTTGTTTCGTATCATATACTAGTTCTACAGGTAGGTATTTATTGGTGGTACCAAAAAATAAAGGGACTCTTCCATATATAGCTTGGTTTTGGGCTATTTCATACATGTAAAATTGTATGAAAAGATGATAAAAACAATGATGAAATTTCAGGAAATGTCATCCAGAATATTTTTGCCGTCCTGAAATTGCATTGAATGCCTCTAGGTACAATGAGTATACCTATGATTGTACCTGAAGATATAGTTATGCCTGTCAATCTCCTCCCCGTTCTTGGAGCCGTTCAACATCCCACCATTGCCAATGACGGCACAGGTGATACACTGGGGCCTGCTCCTCCCCTTAAAGTTGAAGATGGTATCGTCCGCTGGAAACATGTTCAGTACATCTCGGACCTCTGACGGACAGAAGGGAGAAAGCTGTTAAATATCAAAAGGCCAATGCAATTAATCTTCATCAGCGCATGCATTAATTTTCTCCTGATGTTGGAAAAAAACAAGAAATTTTGTTGCCTTCTGACAGTAGTCAACATGCCAAAAGTTGGCAAAGATGTCTGTTGCCATGCCGGAAGGTGGATGCATATGGCAGATAAATATGAAGAGAGGATGGAGACAAGACAAGGCTCTGATTTATTGTTTTTTCTTTTACTTTGATGCAGGAATGTTTTTAATTCCTTTTATATGTAATGTTTTGACTGAATCAAAACCCAAAAATAAATAAAATTCTTTGTTTGAATTACTAACCAGACTCATATTGTGACCTCTCTATATTAGCTCAGTGACTAGAACACTTTGTATTAGCCTGGTATAGTACCCTTGTATGTTCCTTATGTATGTATGTCTAAGTCAGGTAATGCGTCTCTTGTCTCCAATTTTCTATATACGTTTGTTACGTGTCTGTTATATCTTGACCTGTACCTAGCTTGTCGTGGCATGAATGTACAATAAAGGTATTTCATATCGTTGACTTCATGGCTCCTATTGTAATCAGAACTATCATAGGATGCCAAAAAAAATAAGGCCTGCTTTTGTTTTTTTGCCCTGTTGCTTCCTCTTTTTCTATAAACCTCCAGTTACAGTCTCAGTTGTTCTTCCAATTTTCAAGTCTTTCATACATTAGGCCACACCAATTTAATTTGTTGTTTCTCGGATTAGCCCTGTCCATTTTTTTCTGATTTGCAAAAAAAAAAAATTGTTTGGGTTCTGAATCAAATGCAAAATGCTCAATGAAAGACACATTTTGGCCCCAACAGTTTACGTCCTTTTCTTCCTAGTTGTTAAAGTTTTTCAATGTAACAGTGCAAATTTGTTTCATTAACAGTTCAAAATCTATTGTTTTAATATTATAAACCAGTCTGGTATGTTCACTTCATTAGCCTTTTTTTTCTTACTTCGCTCTGTCCCTTCATATTTTTTCTGAAAAAAAAATTGAATTGGTTTGGCCTTTGATGTTTCAAAAGTATATTTTCAACAACCATTGTTGTTGTTGTTCTTACATACCTTCATAAGTGATGTTATCCTTGTAGTTGTACCCAAACGGCGTTGCCCAGGGCTTCATTCTCCAGTACTCATCTACATTAAACAACTTGCTGTTGATCACCATCTGTGTGTCTGGTCTGAAGATGGGACCAAACTCTTCTGATAAAAAGGCTTTTCTCTGTAGACTTCTGGGACATGTCTGGAAAGTCAACCGTATAGCATTGAATTGTTAAGAACTACATTACTTACATTTTGTACATGATGTATTCTGCATAGTACAGTAATATAGGTTTGATATCAGTTTAACCATAACTGTGAGTGTATATGTAGTTTGTTGCATCCAAAGCAAATTTATAGACTCTGAGGCAAAATTTAAAAATCTAAAGAGTAAATCACTAGACTGTAATGGAGTAGCTAGCCTAAGGGTTGATTCAACATACTTTGTGAAGAAATGACCAGAAGATTTACTTTTTGTACCTTCCTAATGTTACATAATGCTTTAATATTGACAGACTACGTGTAAGTATACAAGCGTTGTTATAAGACTTACCGAATCATAGCCCGTCACCATGCAGCTACATGTGTGTTATGTCTTACTGAAATTACCGTTGCAGGATTGGTAGTGTCAGTAGCATAGGTGCGAAGTAGAATAACTGCAGTTACTGTACAAGACTGCCATATTGTTTGTGCCAGTACCTGGGTGTTAGTCAGTGTTCAAGCAAGAGTACAGACAAATGTTGACAGTTTTGTAAACATGAGTGACAGGAAGACTACAGTAACTGTACATTCCAGATTGTTGTACATGTGTTGAGTGACAGGAGAATATAATTATTTTGATATTGAGAACCAATAAAATTGATTAAATTGGTGTGGCTTTGGCTCTCAGTGTATGATGATACATGATTTGCTACATACAATGTTTAAAAAAAAATGTATTCCCAACACTACTAGCAGAATTTTATGTTTCTAATCAATGTTTTAAGTCAACAGAAAATAATGTCATGTGCAACTTTTACTTCAAATGATCTAAGGATCTACATGAATGTGCTTTTAGGAAATAAAACCTCAATGTAGAAAAATTACATTTGAATGCTACTGTTTTTGATTAAACCGACTCACAGAGTTTCTCCAGTTGGGGTTCTGTCTGAAGGTGAACTTGGTGTCGTTCTTGTCTGTCATGTGGAAGAGCTGACCTAACCGCGGCTCCGGGGGGACGTAAAACAGGTCTTCTCTTCTTCTGTCTGCTGGGGGAACATCATCCAGCTCCTTCATACTGTAATGAAAATAAAAATATGTATTCATAATTGCACTATTTATATTGCATTATTGATATATGTACACAATAAAATCTGACCAAAGCATGATCTTCTTCTGGCATGATAAATAGTTCCACTGAGAATTTTTTAAAAAATTAAGAAATTTATTAAGGTTTTGTTTTCTTCCAACTTCATATCTTAAAGTAACTAAAGCAAAAAACAGCTGTAAGTCTTAGTAAAACTCATTGTGCATGTTAGTATAGTAGTAATACTGTAAATCTCCATTTCTTTGCAGTACTTACGGTTTTGGTCATCACTTCTGTACCTTGAATTTATCACTGCCATGAAAAAAATGAAAGCTATCCGCCAAATGTTCAAACAGTAAGATCTCCGTGATTAGTTTTTAGATTATGTACCTTCATTTGTATATAGTGTAAATCTCTTTTTGTATCATGTGTGTGTTTTTACTATGTTATTTGTTGCATGTTGAACCTGGAATGAACCATGGAAGATTAGCCTTTAGGCTAAAGGATATCGAAATAAAGAGAACAAAGAGAATGATTCACCAACTTTCTTTTGGCCGCACCTACCGCCACCGCAAACATATAGTTCCACAAACATGTCGGACTCCTTTTTCTCAGACGGCGAACTTTTGCTACACATTAAGTGATTTACAGTAGTAGAAATTGTAGCCCTAAGGCAGGCCTGCAGCCTTTATAAATTACCCAAACTTGGCTGCTGCTTGATTTAAACTCCAAGTGGAACTGACAGTCTGTGAGGAGAGGGGGTCACAGGTCAGGACGACCCACTGGGTGCAGATGGTTGGAAGTTCTGCCAGGTCAACATCATTAAATTTCACTTTCCACACGGCAGGCTGCCAAGAACTAAACCGAGATCTTGGAAGGCTCACATCAGCAGAGGAAACATGGAACTTTTATAGCTAATTCAGAACTTCCGAAGGGCAACATGCCAATTCAAGATACATACAATGTAATAGTTAGCCATGGAAATCATACCAATCACAGCATGCAAATACTGTAAATCACTTTAAGTTCACTGTAGCAAAAGTTCGCGGTCTGAAAAAAATGGACATGTTTGTGGAACTATATATATAAAGTATGTTTGTGGTGGCAGCAGGGACAGTAAAAAGAAAGTCAGCGAATTATTTGTTTACAGTACTGAGTCAGAAGTTTGCAGTGAAGAAGTTACCGCGAAAACCAGGAAATTCATATATATAAAAGTACCATGAAAACACAGAGAGTGTATATTACACATTCAAATCTATGCATGCACATAGTAAATACGTATACACTGCTGAGGCCTAGGAAAATTTAAGTTGTGTTTGCAGTTTCTGAGGTTGGTAGGTAGGGATTTTCTTCTAAAAATAAGTGAGTAAAATGTCTTTAGAAAATTGAGGACCTGTCCACCTGATTGTTTGTGGGCAAATATTTCACCCAATTTACTGCAGAAAAATCTGGAAATAGTAAATGACATTTCAGAATTCCGATTGGTTTGAAATATTCAGCCAAGTACAATCATGTACCAGTGGTCAATAAAAAAAAAAGGCTAGGATTGGTGGGTTTTTGCTAGGGGTCGGTCAGGAAACAAGAAACACAACATTTTGTTTCCTAGGCCTAAACCAAATGTGCAGCTAGTATAATAATAGGAACACAAGGACAAAACCAAGGACATTTGGACTAAAGGTCACGACGGACCCAATGCTGGAATGTCTTTCCTTGATTGGGTCACAGTACGTTACTTTCTGGAAGTAATCTGTACGCTGGCCTTACCAAGGACTCTGCCATCTCTGTTTTATCCATCAAGGCTGTTTTAATGTTTTTAAATCACTCCAGGCTTTCTTATACAGCCAGGGTATTGAAATAACAGCATGTAGTGTGTCCGTTTACAATACATACTTGTAGTAATAAGTATCCAGCAGAGGAACCACTCTTTTGAAATTTTTTGGCACATTTCTACATCAAACTACAGTTCCAACTGGCCCTTCTGAAACAAAAATTAGATGGATGCCAGAAGGTACAAACCCTCAACTCATAAGACAAAATTAAGCTGTGTGTAGACTATAATCAACTACTAGTACTTGAACTTCCTGCATAAAAACTTGTCATAATACAATCATGTAGTTTAAAAAATAACATCTCATCCACAATTTTCTTCACTTACGTACTTGGTGTAGTCATTACAGTTAAGAAGTTCCTATGTACTGTTATGAACAATAGTATTGTTATGAACATGAATCTTATGAACATGTTACTTCAATATTACTTGACTTGGAACTTTTATATACATGTACATGTAAGCATCCTTCTCTTTGGTATATACTGTAAACCACTTTATATTTGCGATAGCAAAAGTTCGCTGTCTGAGAAAAATGGACACGTTTGCAGAACTATATGTTTGCGGTGGTGGCAGGTGCAGAAGAATGAAAGTCTGCAAATAATTTGTTCACGGTAATGATAAATTTGTACAGAAGTGACCGTAAAAAACGCGAAATATTAAAGTACTAGTACCAGTATAAAGTTATTTACTGTAGTATAAGGAACACAAATATCATAATGCACCATACCCTCGAATGTGTTTAGAGTCCTTTGCGCTCTCCTCACGTCTATGAAGGGCAGTCTTGGCGTCTCGCTCTCCGAAGACGTCAGCGCCGATCAGAATAATCACTATGACGATGACACCTCCAGCCAGGGCTAACTTCCACCTTCTACCCAACAACCTTCTCAACAGCATGGTCGATCTTGTGTGGTTATGTCTGGAAATAAAATTTTCAGAAGTATTATTCAAATATACATGTAGAAGTTAATATATTCATAATCATATTAAGCAGACTGGAGGGAGAGGGTCTGGGACCGGGAACCCCCGACCTGATGATGTGTAGAAGTTGTGGTGTGGTGTGGCGTAAAGGCAGAGTGTTCGGTTTAGAACCAAGAGGACAGGTCCCTGGTTCGAATCTTGTCATGCCACCAATCTTGTGCCCTTGGGAAAGGCACTTAATGAACACGACTTTCCTCACTTTACTCATGATGTAAAAATGAGTACCTAGCGTCGGTTAGGGACGTCCCTCAGATAGAATGTTAAATGGAGATCCAATGATATTGAAATCTTTGGGTTACAAGAAAACAACAACTCCTTAACATTACTGAGTAGTACACACCATCATACTAGTTGCCAGGTCTGTTAAAACTTTTAAATGCACATACTGCACAGATTTTATAACTGACCAAAAAGGAGTCCAAAAACTATCACTGTTACAGAAATGAAAGAATGTTCAGTACAATGTACCTGAACTGATGTGGTGACTTGAAAGTTGGCACACCGTCAAATTCAAACTCAGACCCATTAATCGTATTATCGGCATCAATCCTTGACAGTGTCATGATTGTTATAGTTTATACCAAATTTAAAACAAGAACCTATTCCACGTCTCAGGCACACTGAATGAGCTTACTGATGATAGAGTCTTCCAGATGCAGTTAAATATATGGGGTGTCAGAGAGGCTAATAGTTCACTTTCACAGAGTCTATCTGAAACCCAAGTCCTCTTTGAAAGCAGCGCAAGCAGGATCTAATACTGTCTGATCTACTGAGATACCAACTTCTCAGGGCTCTGTGACCATACTTATTAGTGGGTAAGGCCTTGTTGATTTGATTATATGGATAACATCCTCTGAGATCCTCACAACTGATACGAGCGTGCAAAATAAAAAGTTTGGCAACAAAAAAGTTCCATTCGTTATGAAATCTACGTGGTCATGAAGGTTGAACAAATGACTAAACACATGTATGGTATGGCGAATAAAACAGACTCTTCATTTTCATTTCATCACATTTTCTTCTCTTCCTTTCTAATTTATTTTGCCATTCTACGACATCTTTCTCCAATATAATTTTTTTTGCAATTTACGGCATGTATGGCATACATGTATATTTTGCAACTCCTTTGCACGATTTACAGTCTGATGGTCGAAAACTATTTGGAAATGGACAAAAATTCATGCGTGCATGGATGTCATCCATGTAATCAAACCAACATGGCCTACCACAGTCTGTCCCACAGATTGACGTAGATTGGACACCGCTGGGTCAGGTTGAGTTGGTTTAGTGCCACATGCCACAGAAAGCAGGACAAGACGTGGTTGCAGTAAATCTAAACCGGATGGTAACAATTCTAAGAAACATAACCTGATCTTGGAAAACGTACAAACCACTGTAAGCAGCTTAGAGTTGCCTTTGTAAAACTAGCCCGTAAATCACACCAATTTAATTTCTTGGGTAACGGATTCGCCCGCTTCATTTTTTTCTGATTTGCAAAAAAAAAATTCAGAGTCAACTGCAAAATGCTCATATTTTGCCCTGAACAGTTGAAAACAGTCCTTTTCTTCCTAGTTGTTACAGTTATTCCATCTTTCAATGCAATGGTATCATTAGAAGTTCAAAATTCATTGTTTAAATATTGAACCAGCCTGGTCTGTTGACTTCATGGCTCCTATCGTACCATTTTGGGCCATAATTGGATGCCTAGGCCTGTTTTTATTTTTTTCGCCCGCCCGCTCCATTATTTTTCTAGAATAACCCGTTAACCAAGAAATTAAATTGGTGTGGCCTAAGCAGCTTAGATCAATAGATGAGATCAAATTGCCTCTGTAAAACTAGCCCGTAAATCCAACACTTAACAGTTGAAGTCAAAGTTTTAAAACTTTTATGATCTGCTAGCTAAATTTGCCAGCAACATCTGGCATGAGAAACAAATTTGAAGAAACCACATGCTTTGATTCAAGGTCTGAACCTGACACTAGCAGTTGGCTACCACAAGCTGTCTAATGCATTTAATGCCAACAGCATGCTAGAACTAGTAGAAGCTTTCGTGTCCCCACTAGGCAACAAGTGTTTAAAGCTCTGGAAACAATGGAGAAAGATATGTAGCTTTTATATTAATGCACAAAGGTTGCTAGCAAATGTACCTGGGTAAATATTTAGTTGACCGAGGTGCACTCAAATTCAAAGGTCACACATCTAGCCATATAACTACGCACTTACATGTAGAACCACTCCAGGTATGTTAGGGTAACTGTAACAGATCAGGCCTCATGCTAATAAAGATTACTTGAAAATGGGAAGTTCCCAACATATATATTTATTGCAAGGCAAAATAGGTATTGACATGTACATGGTGTGTGTGTGTGTGTGTTTGTGTACAAATGTATGTGTGTATGTGTGTGTGTGGGGGGGGTCTGTATGTGTGTGTGTGCAGTGTGGAGTTTCTATGTGTGTCTGTACTGTGTGTGTCTGTAAGTGGACCTGGAAGGGCTGAAAAGAAACTGCAAGGGGGTGAAGTCTGCCATCTCTGATTCTCACCTTAAAATATCTAAAGAATGATGAATGGTGTGATAGCGCCGATAACATGTTGGGCACTTTTGGATAATTAATAACTGTAATATTATCAGGAAATGTACGCCAAATGTTTAAGCTGCCTGAGCATTCAATGTGAAAGAAAATCTTGTTGCAAGCTGTTGACATAATCTTCTGTGAATTTGCCCCTCTACAACAAAAGGTGTGTTTGCATGGAAATTGTTTTCATGCTGCTTACTAGTAGTTTTGTTGAATGTGATTACCGTATTAAATCATAGACCGGTGAGCAAATATGGCAACACCCAATGCCCAATCTTAATAATAGCCAGTACTTATAGAGTATGCAGGTATGGGCTTTCCCTGTGTGAGGCAATGACATGATCCCCTTAATAAAGATTTGAATTATAAATTATTAAACCATGATAAGGTTAACTTACTATTGTATTAGCAAATTGGCAAGGTTGCTTGTGTATAATATCTTATGGCTAATATTATTTAGAGAAAAGCAATAAAAGTTAGACTAGACAGGTGAGGAAATTGTTAACTGAACAACGATTATGATTAATATAAACATGTGAGGAAACATAATAATAATTTAGCTTCGAAAAATTATCAGTCTTCCTGACGCCCCCCTCCCCACACTACACAGTTAAAAAACTCCATATCTCGTAACAGTTTCAACTCACCTGGTTATCTATCAACTTGCTGACATTTCCTGATCTTCAATGTTGACCAAATTTTCCCGCTAACACATCTTGTCCATAGCGCTGCCATCGGACTTAAAAACCATGTTATGTTGAACTTCTTCGAACAAGCCAGACCTTGCGAGATAGGTTTCGTAGTTGTAACGTGAAATTTGTAGCTAGTCCAGCAGAGATTTTACTGAATCAGCCACGTCAGAGAGGTCAGAATCCACGTCAATGGGTGTAGCCCGTGTTTAGTGAACCAGAGAAACCAGTGGACTGTTACTAATAAGGATAATAACTACTGTACGCAACTACTGTGTGCTTTTTAGCCTTTACTCGTTTCACTCGACTTTACTTCCGGTATCTCGCAAAGGGCTATGGGAAATGGGAAGCACTGTACTGTAAATCCTGATTTTTTTCGCGGGACTTTTTTGTTCGCGGTTTTTTGCATGTCAAATAATTCTCTGACTTTCTTTTTTTTCGCACCTGTCACCACCGTGGACACCTCCATTTTTTTTAGACCCTGGACTTTTGCTTACCGTGAACATAAAGTGAGTTACAGTATCAACTTTGGTGAAGTCAAGAAGCTACACAGCGAGAGCTACACTTAAAGGCATTAAATGCAATTTCAGGGCGGGAAAGCAAAACAACAATATTCTGGATTAGACAATCAGATATCGACAATTATTTTCTTAGCACATTTTCGTCATCATACTTGAAGCGTTTGAAATACTAGTAGCCCCAAAGCAATCTACGTGATGCGGCACCTTTAATTTTCTCTGGGTACCACCCATAAATTGCTAGAACCAGCCTACAATACAAAACAAGCAACTGTTTTCTGTCCGTCGACATCGCATTTTTGCCTCACAGATACTTGTATCAGTATGCTATGCGTTTACGGTTTATTCCACTTACTACATTAAAAGAATGACAAGTAAATAAATTGACTTTGAAAATACTTTTGTTGCGGCCCTGAAATTACATTAGATGCTTTTAATCAAAACTCCTTGGTGAAATGAAATCAATATATACATGTAAAATTACATTTTAGTGTCACATACTAGTAAGTTGTAGTAGATAACATTGGTACCTTGTAAATAGATTTATCAGAAAAGAAAAAATTAAAAACACAAAAGTCAGGGACTTCGATACATTTATTCAGATCTAGAATTCAGAATATTTTTTACTAGTACCAGTAGTACTAGACGTTATTTTTAGGTGCATGTTGTCTAGCACCCTCAACATACTAAAGTAGTCTGCGAAGGCCCGACTGGCAGTCACACCTAGCGGTTAACTTTATAATTACAAGCAACTCGAACTGAGTAAGAATATACACGTTATCGTAAAACTTAGTATTTTCTATGAAATAAATTAGAATAACTTAATAAAGAATATTTAAAAACGGCAAACATACTGTTGATACAATATATACATGAATGGAGCGGTATATATATTATTGTCATTATGTATATATAGACATGAAATTAAATACTAGTACATGTATTTCAATGATCTTATATTATACACTTTCTTGAGATATTAGTCCGAAGTTCAAAATGCATATGCAATAGATTTGATGCCTTTTCCACAAAACCTGTGGCAAGCGCTTTGAAGAATACAGTAAAATGCGCAATTATTACTGGGTTATATATTTTTCTATTTTTCTATAATTACTGAGTTTCTATTCTATACGTAACTTCTCTGAGTAGAAATTGTGCGGCTCTTGGAGGATGTCGTCGCCGGCGTCTGTGCACCGTGAGAGACGGTCCTGAGTCCGTGTCGGGCTCTGCTGTTGTTACGGTGTCTACGGTGATGTTGAACCGCCTGGGCCGGCCTCGTCTCCCCAGGGCCAGGTACAAGCGCTGTACGGTGGAATCTGAGTCCGGCAGGGTGTTTGTGGAGTAGGTGTTGTAGCCATTTTCCTCCAGAGTCTCTTGAAACACACATTCTGGTCCGGAAACTTCCTGTAGAAAACGTATTAAGAGTTAAACATGGTTTTATAGTGGCAATGTGGTAGCCTCTGCCAGGCTTCGGGAGGTGGCAAACTGTACTTTATAGCGGACCAACTCCCAGTGGCATATCTCTCTATTTGGGCAATTTCTACTCTTTCGAAGCCTGTTTAGGGGCTAGCAATGTGGTCTTGCGGTTAGGGTTAATTTAATTGTTGTCTCACTAGTCAGAATCCGAAGGTTTGAATCCCTGTCTTTGGGAAAGGCACTTAACACTCATTTCCGACCTCACTTGCCTAAATCAGTACCTAGCTTGTTTCTTGTCTTCATTTCTTGTTTAACAAGGTTTATGATGTTAAGATTTGAAAACATAGAACTCTTATTTTTGGGGGGACTCGTCTTGTTTCTTTCGCCCAATCTCATTAGATTTGGAGTCTGCGGAGGATGTCATCCGTAAAATTTACTTGTACATGTTGTGGCCTCATACGATTTAAAAACAGTGCAATACCACATATCGCGCGATTACTGAATGAGGACTAAGATTGCCACGTATATATTTTACTGTACAAATTCTCTTTCATCCAGCCTGTAACTTGTGTGTAAATCTGTTGTTTTAAATGAATCTTTTAACGTATTTTATATTAATACTAATGACGAATAATGATTTTAATGTGTGGTAACTTTTTATTAATCGATCAATTATGTAATTGTCAGAGTAATTCAGGTCCCAATTACATGGGACCTGCCATTCTCTACAACTGACAAATGCATGACGATTAAAACATTATCATATATAAACTTACGGAGCTGTAGAGCTGCCCGGTGTTGTTGTTGATACACAGGTGGAACCTCGTGTTCAGTCCCATGATCCTCACCTCCCCGCTGTACGGACGGTGGAAGGGCGACAGGGAGGCGTCCACTACCGGGAACAGCTCCATGATGGCTGGCATGGTAAAACGTGACATTTTACTCACTTTGAAAAAGGCAAAAAACACAGCACATGTTCGTCGACTTTACCCGCCCATCTTAAAGTGGCATTATGTAACATTTTCGCACGAAAAAATGAAATAATTGATTAAAAAAACATTCGTATGGTTGTAATTTATTTCCACATTCAACATAATTGTGCAATGATCTCATATATTTCTAGCATTTGTGATTGGCGCACTCATTTTGTGGAGCCACCACAATCTACCAGAATGTAAACAAACATGGCTGACAGCTGTGGTTCCAGCTTTCCAACACACTCGTAAAGCGTCATATTTTTTGGCACCTACACTTCCTGAATGGAACTTAATTTCATGCAATACAGTAGGGTTTATTCAACTTACTTTGTAAAGAAATGACCAAAAATGTTTCTCTTTGTTTCGGCCCCACAAAAAGCCCCTTTAAATCAGTCGCGAAGTTTTCGAGATCAGAGCTCTGCGCGTGCTTGCTGTTAACTACAGAAACTGACAAGAAAAGTGAAGAAAAAGAAGAAGAAAACATCATAAATATGCTGATGAAACGTTAACATGAGACAAGGATATTTACTTACAATCAGGATGGTTGTCCTCCCTCGTCCCTGCTACAGTCCCGTTGGCGTCTATCCGCAGGTGAAACCCGTTACCGCGACAGTACAGCTGCCGTATGCGGACCACGCCGCTGTCTGCTGCCGATACCCCTCTCGTAAAGCGCTCGGTGTCTCTACCGTAAGACGTAAGAACCGGCACTGCCACACACATCTTAAGAACCAAGACGCACGCCAGCGAAAGGACTTTAAGATTAAGAAATTCTTTCATGGCGAACATGACGATATTCTTCTAGCATCAAAATTTGTGAGAGAAAACATTTTTCACGAAGTTTTATAGCTACAAGTCGGGACACTCCTGTGTTTATACCAAGAAAGACAAAACTTCTCCGAAGAAAGGGCAAGAAAGTTCTTATTGTTTACGGCAGGAAAAGCTGGAAAGTACGTCACAGCGCTGAAGTTCATTCACCGGTGCAAAGAATTCCGCTTTTGAAATTGTTATCGGAAACATCACAAAGACCCAACAAGGCGTTGCGTAAATTGCATAACTTAAGCTCGAGCCACAAACACTGACTTGAATACCGCGCATAGTTTCCTTAATTGTTATAACTTCCAAAAACACCAATCAGTTAATGATGTTGCATTGGTTAATGATGATTTATATGTATTACATAAGATATATAGATCATTGTACTTCAAACCCAAACCAAATAAAACAAGCAGGTATATATTTCTTCGTTACAACGCTAGTTGGTAGCATCCGTAGCAGGCTTACTAGTAGAACTGGGGGTTTGGTGGTCTTCGGCTGTTTTCTGATTAGCCCAGTTCTTAAAACGGGGGTAATTTAACCAGACCGGCTATGTTGTCTGTATTCAATCAGAAAATAGCACATAAAAAGCTCCCAAAACCCTGAAGACCCCCCCAAACCCCCCCGTTTTTGGCATGCTATGGAGGCTAATAGTTGTGTAGTTGTTCATTAAGCCCCTTAAGTTGTTGTCAAAAACAGCGAACAGAGTACGTCAGAAGCTGCCAGGATCCATGCTCGGAAAGACGTCGCGCTTGGTGTGTCAACAAACTTTTTCTTTGTATTTTTCACCGCTGTGGAAACAGTCTTATGCATACTTACACCTTAGGTGGCCGCCCTGTATACTACTGTACATATTTTGGCACGAGAGATGTTATATTTTTAGCGTCCGACAATAGACAGGAACAAGGAGAGGGTAACAGTAGTACAGGTAGGTAGACTCTACCAGACTTCGAGACGACAGGAAAGAATAGAAATTGGCCAAATAGAGAGATAACATGCCGGGGGAGTGGTCCGCTAGAGAGTATGTACAGTTCGGGTGCGGCAAACCGTACTCTCTAGCGGACCAACTCCCCTGGCATGTTATTTCTTTTTGACCAATTTCTACTCTTTCCATCCGCCTACAAAGCCTGTTAGAGGCTACGGGTAGGGCCAAGGATAGCTCCTTGGTAGAACTACGTACCGTCTTGGAACGGTTAAACTTTATATCGATGCGCGTATGATACAGTTCTAAACTAAACCCTATATGGTCTGTGAGAACACGTTTTCATAATCTCCAAGCAGATCTTTGAGTTGGTGGCTGCAAAGACAGTACTAGTATCAAATTTGCCAGGCAATACGTCTGATAAGTTTCCCAGTTTTTTTTTTTAGATTCAGATAGAACAGACAAACTTTTATTCATTATGGAAGTAGACAGGACGTATATTATAAGCTCCATATAAATGTTCTTGGAGCTCTCTCCGCGCTCCGACCAATTTCAGGTCGCAGGGAGACCGCAGTGAGAGCGTCCTAGTGAAATGGGGGCCTTGCACGGTTGCACCCTTGATTTAACAATCTAAATATGATGCAGGATGTACGAGAATGACTTTGAAAGAGAGAAAACGTAAAAAAAAATTCGTTTTCTATTTCCGTAACTCGTTGAGTGCGCTATGAATTCGTTGATCGCCCAAAAACGTTACTGACATTTGAGTTTGTGGTCGCATAGAGAGCGCAGAGAGGTCGCCGTATATAGAGATTCCACCTGAGCACTTTCTTAGTGGAGTTCGGCGCTCTCTCCGCGCTCTGGGCAATTTCAGGTCGCAGAGAGAGCACAGAGAGGAAATTTGCCGCGGCGCCGCTCGTCGATTTTTGAGTGGCACATCTCGGGTGACAGGCCTGTCGATACACGTACACGGTCAAACAATTCTAATCTGTCCTACAACACGCGCCGCGCGTCAATCGTCGTGAGACAAATGATTTTCTTGCCCCGTGTAAACTGACCCAAGGTCAAGGACAAACGTAAAGGCGTTAAGACACACACATATACATGAATCATTCTGATTTACATAGCTACCACCGGAAAGTAAACTATAAACTTCAGGAACCAAACTCTCTGATCTTACTGTACACACGACAACAACATTCACGGGTGGGGTATCCGACTGTACATAAACAAATAACTAATGTTATTATTTTCTTTTGTGTATAAAATAGATGTTAGCAATTTGACACTAACAAACGGCATCCTAGACGAGGGTATTTTCAACACAGTGACGCTGTTTCCTACCGCCGGGAGTTAAAAATATCACGTGAATATACAAAACAGTCGGGCACTCAGGTTTCACATAGTGGGTGGCAGAGGTGTTCCTTCCGGAGCCTGCAAAAGGCTTGTGGGAGGAGGAAGATTGCTAGCCTCTTTCAGGCTTCGAGAGGCTGCTGGAAAGAGTGGAAATCGGCCTCTCACCGCGGACCCTCCCCTGGCATGTTGTCTCTCTATTTGGCCGATTTCCACTCTTTCCAGCCGCCTCCTGAAGCCTGATAGAGGCTAGAGGATTGCATCTGTGGCTGCGATCGTTGTTATCAGGAAATTAGCCTCTACCAGACTTCGGGGCGGCTTCGACAGATAACATGCCAGAGGAGTTGGTCCGCTAGAGCAAGGACATTCTACAAATAATTGGCTAGAGAGTACAGTTTGGCCAATTTTTACTCGCTCTTTCCAGCCGCATCCGGAAGCCTGGTGGAGGTCGAAATGTTTAGACGGAATACTTGTAGTACGAGTGCATACAGCAAGTACTGAAATTCCAGGCTATGTCGGAAGTAGGTCATTGAACTTCAGGAACATAAGGTCTCCTAGCCAGAAGTTATGTTTATTGTATTATATGCATATGACTTTCGTCGCCGCATCAATTTTTGTCTGCCCCCCCCCCCACCAAAAAGTTTTCAAACATATTCGTACAAAGCAGCTGCGAAGTGAGCAAATATCTTGCAAAAAAATGTTGAAAAACGATACTAATGTCGTAGAATCTTTAAATCAATTCCAAAGAAAAAGAAGAAAATGTGAAGAAATGAGAATAAAGAGTCTATTGTTCTCCATATTATTATTCTCCTCTGTGCGTTAAGTCATTTGTTCAACCTTCATGACCACGTAGATTTCATAATGAAGGCAACTTGTTTTGCCAAACTTTTTTTATCCGCACGCTCGCATCAGTTTTGGGGTTCCCAGAGGATGTCATCCGTATAATCACATCAACATGGCCTTATGAGAGGAGGAAGTTTGCTTCCTTCAATGTTATCAGGAAATGTCGAAATGTTTAGTCGCTATACATACTTCAAATACTAAAATTCCAGGCTAAGCCGGAAGTAGGTCATTGAACTTAAGGAGCTCTAGCGCAATCCTAACCTAAAGTTCAGATATGATATGAAGTATCATATCTGAACTTAATAAAGCTATGTTGATTTGAATATTTATAAGGATGACGTTCGCGCGCGCATAAATTTTGGTCCGATCCCCCCCCCCCAAAAAAGTTTACGATAATACCGTAAATCGTACAAAGCAGAAATGCAAAATTAGCAAACATATGCCGTAAATTAAAAAGATAGAAATGTTGGAAAAAGATACTCGTGATGTCGTAGAATGTCAAAATGAAAAGGAGAAAATGTGAAGAAATGAAAACAGTGTATTATTCCCTATAAAGTGCGTTTAGTCATTTGTTCAACCTTCATGACCATGTACATTTCATAATGAAGGCAACTTTTCTTGCCAAACTTTTATTCGCACGCTCGCATCAGTTTTGGGATTCCCAGAGGATGTCATCCAAGATGAAACATGGCCTGATGTGAGGAGGAAGTCTGGTTCGATCGTTAGGAAATGTCGAAATGTTCTGACCCAATACTGCAAGTATTTGACACTAACAATTGACATCCTCGACGAGTATATTTTCAATACACTGACGCTGAAATTCCAGGCTATGCTGGGAGTAGGTCATTGAACTTCAGAAGGACTCCTAACCTAAAATTCCTGTATGTTATATCTTAACTTAATAATTTTTTAAACACTATATATCTCGTAGGTCTATAATTAAACAATTAATTAAACTTTATGATGTGGGTAATATATTTAGTTTTATGCGGAAATGACTAAATCATTCAAATAATAACTTAAGAAAAAATTTTATGACATCAGACTAAAGTTAAAACATTGTCTATCCGCCCACATCCCTAAATCCCCTTAATAATACAGCAAATTTTAGATACCGTAAAAATTTCAACTTAAGATATAATTGGTCTTCACGAATAGTCCAATCACCAGTGTTGTATTTTGGTGTCGTATGCACTTAATTAAACTTTTAATTTAATCAGTTATATGTTTTAGCTAGCGGACGTTTCAGTGGCTGCAAGTCAGTATCAAATTGACCAGAAAGTATCCATTGGCCAGACAGTTACCCAGCCCTATAAATTGAAAATAGCTTAATAAATCGTAACGCTTTTGCCGCTAGACATCTGCTTGGTTGATACCATCTGAATGCGGTCGCGAGGTCACCAGCTGATTGTGCGGAAGTGGAAATGGGACTCTCTCAAGTTTAATCCACGAAGGGGGGAGTTATAGGGGCATTATAACTTTTAAAAGTAAACTTGTCAATCTTACAGGTCAGACTTCTCCAGGATGTAAAATAAATTGTGAATAATATCTAGGATACATTTTATATATGAATGCTAATTCAAGTGATAACCATTGTTCTTATATAAAACAATAGGCGTTTGGTCCCTCAGAGGACCCCCTATAATGAAGGCGAAATGGAGCATTCCATCTGATCATAATGACAACAATGGCGGCCTTGGGCAAGGTTCGGAGGAGCCCTGGAAGATTTCTTATCGAAATTATCGATTAATGTCAACAAACATTCGCCACTGAGACAGGTAAGACCCTTCATTCTCTCAAGGTTGTGATATGTTACAAACTGGTGCGAGAACGGCCTCGAAAATACGCCAGGAGAGACTTTTATCTTCGGCGGTGTTTGAGGTCAGATTTGCCGGCCGTGGTGCGTGGTCGCTCGCGCTCTAGTGTTGCTACATTTTCGACCTATTTATGAAACAACCCTCGGCAAATATGTACCCACGAACACCTTGTCCTGAAAATACATCAACGTATATGTGCAGAAATACTGTGATATTAGCTAAAGTGGAGATATTTCTGCCCGAAACCAACCGTATTATGTGCAGCTAGTTTCACAAATTTATTTGGTAACTGTCTATGTGTGTGGTCACATAATATGGTAGTTCATCAGTAGTTGTGTCAAAAAAAAGGAAAGAAAAAGGAGAGGGGGCTCAAAGTGGCACTAAAGAAATAATGCCATTTTAGTGTTTGAACTAAACAGAAACGTACTTTGTGCTTTACCGGGGTCACGAAACTATGTTTGATTCCATAGTTCAGTGCCCAGTAGTGTTTAAGCAATGACATAGTTGAGTTAGCAAGCAAGCCGGTACAAGGTTTGATTCCGAGAGGGGGCGTGGCATCCAAAATGATGTGCACTGAACTGATTTAGAATAAACAAGAAATTGAATTGAAATGATTGCATCAAGAATGTTTAATATGTTTTTCAATCTTGCATCACTCAGAATTGTGATGGTGAGATGTAAAAATCACAAACTTTCATTATCATTGTTTACTAGTAAATATATATATAGTTGAGGTAAGACCATTCAAGTTTCTCCCCCCCCCCCACAATGTATACACTCCCACTTTTATGAGGGTCTGCATGCCCTTTTTTGTAAGGCGTAATCAGGCCTTTCTAGTACTAAAAATTCTAGTCTTTATAATCCGTAAGCCGTCACCCAAAATCATGGTAATTTGTAATCAGCACATTAGCCGTAATGCCGGGCTTTGAGAATGTAACGTAAGTAATCGGCGGCGCAAATTTTGTTTAGCAAGGCAAACACATAGACTCACATGTCACATAAATTATCATAACATCATTTCCAATTTCTTCAATAATTTTATTAAAGAAAAGAATTAAATAGACAATAAGGCCACACCAATTTAATTTCTTGGTTAACGGATTTTTCTAGAAAAATAATGGAGCGGGCGGGCGAAAAAAAAATAAAAATAAAAACAGGCCTAGGCATCGTATTATGGCCCAAAATGGTACGATAGGAGCAATGAAGTCAACACGCCAGGCTGGTTCAAAATTTAAACAATGAATTTTGAACTTTTAATGATACCATTGCATTGAAAGATGGAATAACTGTAACAACTATGATGAAAAGGTCTGTTTTTAACTGTTCAGGGCAAAATATGAGCATTTTCCAGTTGATTCTGGATTTTTATTTTTATTTGCAAATCAGAAAAAAATGAAGCGGCGAATCCGTTAACCAAGAAATTAAATTGGTGTGGCCTAAGCTACATAAAAAACGTCACATTCAGTCTTGATAAACAAAAGATGTCTTTCCTATAACTGTAGGTACTACATATTACTGAAGCAAGAATAACTAACATAACTTATATAATTATTGATATATGTACAACAACAAAAAGGCAAAAATAAATAAATGATAACCATGCCTTCAACTTTCAAGTACCAGAGTTATCAGCCAAGTATTGAGGAGTTCAAGAATTCATTCTTTCCTAAAACTATCGCAGAGTGGAACTCACTGTCACCAAGTACAGTAGGGGCATTGTCATTACATAGCTTTAAACAATGTCTAGAGTTAGATGTTCAAGGGTTAGGTGTAACAAGTCGATCAGTGTAATATAGCCAGCTGATGTGCGCATGTGAAGCTGGTGTGTTATGCCAATGGCGGTTATACTGGCTATACAGATACAGATATAATTAATCCGAACATAATGTTCCCCACTTTTCCAAACATCATTTCCTTGTTCCCAGTTTTAACATCATGTGTAATGTTTTTTCCTCAATCCCTGACAGCGGGACCTGCGATGACTCTCGCCACCACGTCAGCGGCCACAGCCGTCACCATGGCGATGCCGACGCCCAGCAGTACGCAGGACGGCGGCGAGGAGCGGCGCATCAACTCCTACCTGTTCGACGACCCCAGGAAAAAGTCCCGCAACTACCTGGACACCCACAAGAACATCGAGAAGAAACGCAGAGACCGTATCAACTCTAGTCTCACGGCGCTCAAGTCCATAATTCCCGAGTGTAAGGCCTACGGTAAGAAAAAGCTAGACAAGGCGGAAATACTGGAAATGACGTTGTCCTACTTGGACAAAATACATAGTAGCGGTTTTACCTTAAAGAAGGAGGAGCAACAGACGCCAGGGAACTGGGCGAAACAGCTCATGCAATGGGTACACCAGGAGAAAAAGAACTTCCACACCGTAGATGAGTTTGTGAACGCGTTACTTACGCACTTGCAGACGTGCGTCGTCAGCGGGAGTTTCGCTCCCGTGGATCTCAAGGGTATGCTGCAGGGTACGTCTGGGCAGGATACGCCGCTGTCGCAGTCTGTCGTCACGTGCCAAGCTCAGCCGGCTGTCACCAGTAACGTGAACACGGCCGGTGTGGCGAGCACATCTAGCCAAAGTCAGGTCACCGCCATTTCTTCCCTGTCCCAGTCTCCAGCCTGCACGGTGACCAGTGCTACCTCAGGAAGCCAACAGAATGGACTGATGCGCGCGCGCCCCCCTCCCCCACCCAACATCACACCCGCCATTTTCCTCCAAGCGACCAGTTTCCAGGCCCGTCTGCGGGCTCAAGCCGCATCGCACGTCTCCTCGGCACCGACCATGCAGCAACAAGTGTTCCCCTCGGCCGCTATAATTCTACAGCCTCAGCAACAACAACAACAACAGGCTATGACCCCCCAACAGGTCATCAACGTGGCGCAGCCCATCGACCTCACCCAGCAGTGCTCCAAGCAGAGGGACGTCCTCGACCTTCGGATGACCTCCCAAGGTCGCGAGCAGCTCGTGGCGTCCAATCAGTGCATCCAAAGACTTCAGCAGCTCATCGACCAGCACAGCATGCAAGAACAGAGCCTCATGCAGGTGCAGCCTCCGAATGTGCAGATGCCAAATGCGGTGCCATATGTAGAGTCCACAACAAGCCAGCCTCCGGCTTACACACAGAACATGGGAGGAAATTTACAATCAAATGACCTTTCCTTCATAAACAGTTCTTCACAAGCCTACATTCTTGCCGAGCTCCCAGCGGGAGTGCTGTTGCAAGATAGAATGCTTGGCTCGGTAGGGGAGATGCTGTCTGATGGAACGGCCATGGATACTGTCCCAACTGTCCCTTCCAATGGTAAGAATTTCAAAGAAACATTTGTTCACTGCTAAGAAGGTATTGAGTAATCTTTTAGTAGGTATGTATTTGTTGGTATAAAGGCCATGTTAATTTGATTACACGGATGACATCTGTGCGCGTGTCAATTTTCATCCAGTTCAAAAAACATTTTTGACCATAAGTTGTAAATCATACAAAACAGCTGCGAAATGTGCAAGTATATGCCGTATATTGCAAAAGAAATATTAGAAAACAATAACTGAGTTCAAAATCAATTCCATATATATAGGAAAAGAAGAAAATGTGAAGAAATTGATATGATTCTACTAGTTGCCATAGCAAACTCTGTGCATGTGTTTAATCATTTTCCCAACCTTCATGACCACATAGATTTCATAATGATGACAACTTGTTTTTGCCAAACTTTTTACCTCCGGGGAAGGAGATATCCTTCCGCGAGGAGGTTTTACTATGGTTCGAAACATTTCTGTCAGCAGCTGGACGGATTTGTCTGTGGTTCGGTATACGTATTGCTATTGGGCTGCATATGATGCAGAACGTTTTTGTTTAATTGCATATGTGTTTATGGGCGTCGAAATAAAAGGTTTTTAAGTGCTCCGGACACCCCCGCCATGCTGAAAATGGTAATTACCATGTTGTTAAGGAATGGGGCGGTTGCAGTTTTTGGTCTTAGCATTCAAAAGGGGTCAAACAGAGGGGTGTCTGGTTCCGATAAAAATTTTGGGTGACGGCGCAGCAATGACGGCGCGGGATGACGGCGGGGGTAATGGCGCGGGTGACGGTGCAGGCTGTCAGACTGTGAGACACGTTAATCAACAGTCCATACCGAACCAACCGTCAGTAGCCATCAAACACATACAAACATATTACGCACATAACTTTCATACTACACACAAACAAATAACCTAAACCAATAGAACACAAAAAAACCCGGAGGTTTGAAATCTACGATTTCCCTTGTTTTTCATTTGCACACTTGAATCAGTATATAATCAAATAAACATTTAAAAGTCAAAATTTACATTGCATTTTATGCTTTTCTTAGTCAAGTAAGTATATAGTTCAAAGCAGTGCAACCTCAGTTAGTACATTCAAGATGTATGAAAATGGATTTCTGTTAGTGCTAAATCAAATGTGTTGTTGTTGTTGTTTTCCATAATAGATAGCGACGCTAGCTACCACAACCCAGAACAGCTCCAAGTGCCAGGCATAGGGGAGTCACCAGTCACAGAGTTCGTGGACCCCAGCACTCTCCAAGTGTCTGCTGTAGTAGACGACTCAGCTCTTATGGGTAACTTTGTTTTTATTTTTTCTTGATGACCCCTTTCTCATGGCTTTAAATGGTCTAGACCAGACTGTCAATCACAATTAACACTTCAACCAATGGGAGAACAACAATTAGCAGTTTGACCAATGAGAAAGTGCCTGTGTGTCAATCAAATACAAGGTGCCTCGGCATCTGTATTTTTATGTTAAACATAATATTAACTAATTGTTTTGCATGGTTTTGGCTATGAGATTGGTCTGTTGTTATAAGTTGGCTACCACAGAAAACTTCAAGGCATCCAATATGCAACTTCAGGATGGCAAACTAAACATATTTTGGATAAGGAAATCTGTCTGATATAGACATGATGAACTGCCATTTCGTAGCACAATGTTACTTGAAGCGTTTGAAATGACCTCAAAAAACTACCTGAGGAGTCCCTTTATTTTTGGGTACCACCCATAAATATCTAGAACCAGCGTACAATACAAAACAAGCCAACCATTCTCCATCAGCGACATCACATTTTTGCCTCACAGATATCGGTATACTACCAGATTGGATTTGCTCCACTTACTACTAAGTACATTGAAAGAATGATGAAGAAATTGCCACCCTGAAATTGCATTGGGTGACCTTAACACCAATGTCCTCCCGGGCACATGTTTCTTGTGCTAACTTACTGTAAATCATGTTTTTTGCGGTATATTCACAGTTGTCATGGTTACTTATTATCTGTACTGCAAACTTATCATTAGGCCACACCAATTTAATTTCTTGGCGGGCAAAAAAAAATAATAATAATAAAAACAGGCCTAGGCATCCTATTATGGCCCAAAATGGTACAATAGGAGCCATGAAGTCAACACACCAGGCTGGTTCAAAATTTAAACAATGAACTTTTAATGGTAGCACTGCATTGAAAGATGGAATAACTGTAACAACTAGGAAGAAAAGGACTGTTTTCAACTGTTCAGGGCAAAATATGAGCATTTTGCAGTTGATTCTGATTTCTGAAAATGAAGCGGGCGAATCCCTTAACCAAAATTTAATTGGTGTGGCCTTACTGTGAACAAATAATTTGCTTTCTTTTTGCTGCACCTGCCACCACTGCGAACATATAGTTTTGCAAACATGTCTATTTTTCTCAGACCACAAACTTTTGCTACCACAAGTATAAAGTGATTAACAGTAGATGATTGTGTAATGTGTTGTTGTGTTCCAGGGACCCCCGACCTCCCCTCCTGGAGTAACAGCCCAATCAGTGCCTTGGAACAGGCTCCAACATGACCAAAGGTTCAAGTACTGGGTTCCAAAGTCTCCATGGCTAATACTGCACAATCATCGCTACTGTAAAGATAGAAAGTTTAGTGCAATTCTCTTCTACAGGTTCAGTCTCTGGTATTGTAGATGAAGTTTTTTTTCATAAGGCCATGTTGATTTGATTGTATGGAAGACATCTTCATGTGCATGATTTTTCATCCATTTTTAAAAGGAAAAGTTTTCCATCGTACAATGCAGCTGCAAAATGAGTAAATATATGCCGTACATTGCCAAAAAAAACATTGGAAAACAATACTAATGTCGAAGAATGCCAAAATCGAACAAAAGAAGAAAATGTGAAGAAATGAAAATGAAGAGTGTAGTATTCGCCATACCATACTCTGTGTGGCATTTGTTCAACCTCCATGACTTAATAGATTTCATCATGAAGGCAACGTTTTTTATTTGCCAAACTTTTTGGGGGGCATACAAAACAACATTTGCATTAAAGCGGCCCAGCTTACAGCTTCTAAAATGAACAGCTAGTGTTGACGAAAACCTGAAATGTTGATGTGCAACCTGGCTTTTGGATAAAAAGTATTTCGAACCCTGTGCATTAATGGATCAAAGCTATTATAGTTGTACAATGATACCTGTGATAGACCTTGTTAACAATTGTGTCATTAATTTATTGCAAATATGCTTATAAGCCTAGGAAAAAAATGTTGTGTTTCTAGTAACTCAACCAACCCTAGCCTTTCTTTTTGGTTGGCCGACTATTTATAATATATAATGAGGTTCCATATGATTGGCGCCAACCAATAGAAGTACAAATGTATATCCAGTACTAGAAATTCTCCTGTACCTCTCTGCATACAGATTGGCATCACAAAAATGTCAAATAGATCCCAAATGTCCATCACAATTAGAAGTTTAACCAATGAGAGAAAGGCAATTAGCAGTTCGACCAATGAGAGAGTGGCTTCATGTCCATCAAATACTTGAATTTCCATGTTTCGACGGAGGTGGGCGGAGCTTCAGGATTGGTCTGTTAGGTAATTGCATCATATCAAGTTAGTTGTACCCGTACTAACCATAGATCCTGTACAAATTTATGTTGAAATTTTGACTGGAAACAACCCTTCTGTGAGATTAAATACGCAGTTGTACATGTGAGAGAGCCGTTAGCAGCCTTATTCGTGGTATCTACCTCAATTCTGTTCAAAATTAAGCAAGCCAAGTTGACTTTCCCTCCGAAATGTTGAAGAGGTGATGACTGAATTAGCTAATAGCTACACAATAATGTCTCCTTAAATTTATCCCATGTATCGCCAAGTAACAATGTAAGTAACAATGTGAAGTAAAACTAGGTCATACTCATTTAGTAATGATAAAGCAGAGAGATTGTCATATTTTTTACTGATGTCAGCAGCCCTTGTGTACATGTATGGTGTCCGTATTACAGGACTAATAATGTATGCCAAAACAATTTTGTTATACTAAGACGTTTAGATTCTTGCCAAATGATCAACTGTTGTTGGGACTATGTCCTAACACTTGACGCAAATGATTGTTTTTTCGAATTCAGAAAGATATTTACTGCTATAAGGCCACACTGATTTAATTTTATGGATGACATCCCCGCGAATTTGATTTTTGGCAGTGTTCTAAAAAAAAAATCACCTCTGAAGCTCTGTCCTGGGTACCATCCTCCGTAGTCCATGGTAGCTAGTGACAATAGGGAGCCGGTGGTAACTACGGAGGACGGCACCCAGGCTGCCGAAACTCCACGGAACTCAAGTACAGTGTCGACTCATAAATGCCACAAAAGTCCAGCATGTGTAGGCTTGTTGTAAAAGGCGCAAATTCACAATACCAGCTTTGTATTCCTGTGGTTTAGCAGCATTTTTTTGCTGGAATTTTTCTATTCGCCTCCACGCAATAGTTTGGGGGTCTTCAGAGGATGTCATCCATAAAATTAAGTCAGTGTGGCCTAACAAGTAATAGCAGTACAGCATAGATTAGAATGGGAAGTATACATAGAAATGATGTGGCCCTCTTCCCTTATATCCAAAATCCCACATCCTCACAGAACAAAAAGAGTCACGTCAAAGAACAAAGCCAAAAAAGTGAGATTTAAATTGTAAATACAGAGTAACAATGTCGTGCCATTGCTAGCTTGAGAACTGTCATGGATCATTGTAAAAAAAAATATGTATTGACATTTTGTATGAGAGAATTATGTGTTATGGTAACTATAATATGTATAATTTATGCAGTTACTTTTAATGCTGTCTATATGGTGCTTGTATAGGAGGTCATGTTATGTAATCGCAAGGAGCTTCAAACAATTGAGATAATTATGTACATTCTACAATGTGATAGCAAGGGAACATTGCTGTTTTAAATTATTTATACAAAGCATTCTTTTGTACATTGTGTAAGAATTGTAAGGAATGCAGAAACATTGTTTCAAAATTAAATTCATTTTGCTATTTTAATACTTGAGGTAAAACATGCATCTCTCCTATTATTATCCAGGTATTATATATGTGCCTGTTTATTATTTCTTGCATTTTTGTATGATAATAATTTTGGATGGTCAATATTCTGTACAAGACTATGACTTTATAGTTGTATACATAATGTGGCTTATTAACCTTTAGTGCAATTTTAGTTAGTTTGGTGCTCAGTAAGACCAAGATATGGATCAGGCACACTGATTTGATGTTATGGATGACATCTGTGCACGCATTGATTTTTGCCTGTTTCACCCCCCCACACCCCACCCCCAAAAAAGAAAAATCACCTCCTCCAAGGCTCTGTCCTGGGTACCATCCTCCGTAGTCCATGGTAGCTAGTGACAAGAAGGAGCCAAAAGTAACTACAGAGGACGGCACCCAGGCTGCCGAAGCTCCACGGAAATCAAGAACTCAGTACAGTGCCAATTCATAAATGCCACAAAAGGCCAGCATGTACTGGCTTGTCTTAAAAGTCGCTATGTACTACCGAAAATTTGCAATGCCAGATTTGTATTCCTGTAGTTTAGCAGCATTTTTTTTTGGCTGGAATTTTTTTATTTGTCTGTGCGCGCGCACTAGTTTGAGGTCTTCAGAGTACAGTATGTCATCCGTAAAACTAAGTCAGTGTGGCCTAATATTGCTACATGTTTGTTGTGGAATTCTACCATTACCGATATCTGTATCTGTATAGTCGGTAATCTTAGCCTCCTTCGCAGTCTTGTTGGGCGTCGGCGTTATTTTTTCTCTGAGCGACGGGAGTAATATGCCGCCGCGAGGGACAATTTGCTGCCGAGGGAGTTTTTGCCACGGAGAGGTTTC